TTCTGGCTATAGTTGCGTTTCACATACTTTTATCAACGTGGGACCTCAGTGGGACCATACACTGTCATTTGTAGCAACCAGAACAGTGACCATGGCAGGTACTCAATAGAATATATGCTGAACGAACAATGCCACCCTGAGAAGTCAGAGGTTCTCTCCCTTGCTGTTTTCAGCCACCACTGCTATGATCCTGACTGCTGGACACTGGTTGAAAATGGCATGCATTGCCACTAGAGTGTTTCTCGTGAAGCTGCTTGAGCCTAGATGGAGGGAGGTAGGCATAAAAGCAGGTTGTAGAGGGGTCAGGTAAATACTTAAGACAAAAATATTTTAAAAGTTTGAACTGCTATCTATATCCCATAAAATGCAAATTTTTAGTAACTTGTGTTTGTGCAAATTGTTTATAGCTGTAAGCCATTAGCACTGCAGTAATTACTTAAATAGTAATTTTTGCTCAAAATGCAACAGTAATTGTAGACATTAATTACAGAATTTGGGTGGTATGTGGGTATTTGAGGTAAAATTTATTCAATTATTCTGTATGTTTAAAAAGTTTTATAATACTGGAAAAGATCTAACTGCCTATGACTTTATTCAGAAGTACAATATCATTTAATATAGCTGTATATATTTTTTCTTCAAGTTGAAATACTTCTTACTCATTTAAGTAACTTTGAAGACATCTTGATCTAGGAAGCAAGACTACAGGTGGATGAAAATGAATTGGAATCAGCAACAAGTAAGGACTTTTTATAAATCGTTGTGAAAATTTTTACAAGTCAGAGGTAAGCTTTATTCATATATGTATAGCGCACTGATGCTAATTTTTTACAGGGTTTATATTCTGTCCTTTACACAGATGGAAAAATCAAGATAAAACAGCTTGTCTAAGCTGAGAAACAATCTACTTGCACAGCAGGGATCACCAGCACCCACCTCACAACAGGAGGAGAAAATGCTCTCTGCTCTTCATTACAGAAATTCACTGATAAGTAAAAAAGTGTCAGTCACTTCATCTAAAAGTTTACTAAAATTTTTGCGTATAAAAGAGAGGAGTTGTGATACGGAAGAGGGGCAGGGAAGTGCCGGGAGGAGAAGGGCAGGTCCCTGGTAAGGGCTCCACCCCGGGGCCTATGCCCACGGACTAGGTGAGGACAGGCACTCCTGCCTTCACGTCCAAATGTTGCATTTCCCCAAGGCCACCCTGGCCCACCACACCCCCATGCTGTGCCTATAAAAACCCCGAGACTCTAGCAGGCAGAGACACAAGCGGCTGGACATCCAGAGGAACACACAAGCAGCTGGATGTTGAGAGAATGTCGAGAGGTACCAACAGGCACCAGTACACCAGCAGTCCACAGACCGGTGGAAGTATGCGGGGTTTGGCGGGGCGGAGAGAGGAGAGCTCCGGCCACTGAGAGACCGGGGTCCAGGGGAAAACCACCTTCCCACTCCACCTCCCTTCTGGCTACCCCATCTGCTGAGAGCCACTTCCCCTCAATAAAACCTTGCACTTATTCTCCAAGCCCACGTGTGATCTGATTCTTCCAGTATACCAAAGCAAGAACCTCAGGATACAGAAAGCGCTCTGTCCTGGAGATAAGAAGTCTAACTGAGCTAACACAAGCCGCCCATGGACGGCTAAGCTGAAAGCGCGCCCTGTAACGCATGCGCGCTGGGGCTTCAGCTGTCAACATTCACCTCTAGACACTGCCGCAGGGTGGGAGCCCACAACCTGCCCATCTGCATGCTCCCCCAAGAGGTCTGAGCAGTGGGGCACGAACGAAGCAGGCCACACCCCATCACACGCTCTGCGAGGTGGATAAGGGAACTCTTCCCATTTCAACTGTATAATTAAAATGTGTGTAAATGAGACGGTAATAGGACTTGTTTGATCTACACTTGCAAACACTTCTTTATTCTAAAGTTGATTTCAGTGTCAGGGTGCATATGCGTTTTAAACAAACAATACCTCTCCTTTTTCATTTTTATGATTGCTGACTTTAATTCTGGCAACAAATTCACTTTTAGTCATAAATCTCTGAAGTCACCTTATGTTAGTACATTTAAAATTGCAAGGAATGATAATATTTCTTAAAATGGAGAGTACCAAGCTATAAATTCTTACTTAATAATCGTACCTTTTCAGAAACCAAGAAATTTAAACTTTGTTCAGAACACATAAATGAGAACTATAAAATGCTTCCTACATCATCAACATATTAGAAACCCAGGAGAGTCCTTAATACACAAGACCCAGTTGTATTATGGAACCAATCAAGACTTGGATGGCAAGGAGAACGACCTAACTTTCTATCTGTCTCTCCATGGAATCCAACCATTTCAAATTTTTACTTAAAGGGTAGAGTGTTTATGTATTTTTATTCAAAGGCTAGAGTGTTGTGTGAATATGTTGGCCTGTGGAAAGGCTGTAATGAGACCATCTTGTCAAGCAATAATAAAAATGACTTCATTTGACACAACCTTTTTGCACCAACCCCTATTTGAGCCAAAATGTTTGTAAAATATTTTTATTTTATGCTAATTCAAATGTGGGCTTGTTGTGCCAAGATGTGAACTACACTTGCAGCAGTGCTAGCTTTTGGCATTTGGGGAGTGAGATCACAGCAGGGTCCTTCTTTCAGATCTACTAGTTTCCACAAGACTTTCTCCTTACTTACTTAACAGTCTCATTCATTTCATAAGACTATTTGGCCTATTTCTGAAATATCACCTCCTACTCCAGCCAATTACAAAGGTTTACACACGTTCATTTAAAATATATGGAAAATAAAGACAGTATAAAGAAGAAAATAAACGTAACCTGTAAAAAGCACTATCAACATTATGGTATACCGTTTCCCTCACTATCAAAATCTATTAGATTCCTGACTCCTTTTTCACCTAAGTGCAAAATAATAAAATTGAATGAAATTTAATCTATTTGTTTCCTTGAACTTGGAGAAGATTTTGGATAAAGAATACCTACATAGGGCCAGGTGCAGTGGCTCAAGCCTGTAATCCCAGCACTTTGGGAGGCCACGGTGGGTGGATCATGAGGTCAACAGATCAAGACCATCCTGGTCAACACGGTGAAACCTCGTCTCTACTAAAAATACAAAACTTAGCTGGGTGTGGTGGCACGCGCCTGTAGTCCCATCTACTCACGAGTCTGAGGCAGGAGAATCTCTTGAACCCGGGAGGCAGAGGTTGCAGTGAGCCGAGATTGTGCCACTGCACTCCAGATTGGCGACAGAGCAAGACTCCGTCCCAAAAAAAAAAAAAAAAAAAAAAAAAAACCTATATAGCTTATTACATAGCTCTATGCAGATGCTGATGGCTAGACGGCTAAACGATAAATAGATATTATTGAGAAAATAATGTGTTTTTACAAAACAAGCCTCTTATTTTTTAGTAGGTAAGGTCATTTAGGTTAGACAAAAGAAAGTTTTGGCTTCTCTTGCCAGTATCTACTTTCTCATAATTTCTAAGTGTGGACCTATATAGTTTTCGATGTGATGTTCTGAAAATATATCTAAGGATTAATGTCATAAAATGCTTCTTTGTAATTATAGCTTAGAAGCACATATTTAAAAGATCTAGCCTGGGCACGGTGGCTCATCCCTGTAATCCCAGCACTTCAGAAGGCTGAGGCGGGCGGATCACCTAAGGTCAGGAGTTTGAGACCCACCTGGCCAAAATGGTGAAACCCCATCTCTGCTAAAAAATCAAAACTTAGCCAGGTGTGATGGCACATGCCTGTAATCCCAGCTACTCGGGAGGCTGAGGCAGAAGAATCGCTCGAACCTGGGAGGCAGAGGTTGGAGTAGGCCGAAATCATGCCACTGCACTCTAGCCTGAGCAACAGAGTGAGACTCTGTCTCAAAAATAAATAAATAAATAAATAAATAAATATCTTAATGTTGCAATGTTCAAAATTTAAAGTCAAAGCTAATTATTTTGTGCGTAACAGAAATCACTACTAGGTGTTCAAACACACACACATTTTTTATTATTATAAACAAAAAGAAGATCGCAGGTGAGCCTAATCTCTGCACTAGCAAACAAACTAATTGTTTGCTTTCTTTTGTAGGCATTACAGTTTCTTTCTGAATTGCATAAATGAACAAGAAAGCTAGGTCTGGTTTCCCAGAGAGGGACCACTCAGGACGGAAATAGACTCATGAGCACAGGAAATCTGTGAGCGCTTGAATAAGGACAGGCAACTCCAGGGAAAGGATAATGTCTCTACCATGCTTGCTCATGTCTGGTCGCAGAACCAACACGGATATTTAAAAGCAGGGAGGTCAGGACAAAGTAAAATGTAACCACTTGTTTATAAAAGAAAAATCATACTACTTGTATATGTAATATATGCAAACCCAAAACAGCATGTCTAGGAATCCCAAGAATGAAAATCTGAATTTCCCTTTAACAATATCCATTATTTTACAAGAGAATCATTATTAACATCTTTCTCTCTCGTTAATAGGTAAAGCTCCACGACACGCAATCTGACATGTTAAGAAGTGTGTGATGTTAATAACCAGACTCTTCAGCAGCAGAAAGCAAGGAGTTCCATAAGAATATTACTCGGGGCGGGATTTAGTAGAATAATGTAAGTCCGAGAATCTTGGATTATATACATTGAAATGAGGTAGTATTTCTAGACGATCTGAAAACTAGTACTTTTATACCCCCAAAATAAAGAGGAGCACCATTCAAACATTTTTTCCATCTATCTATCCATCCAACATCCAGCACAAATAATTAAAAGAATATTTGTGAAAGTTTTCCTCATTCAAGTACCAATCAGTATAAGCTACCTGTACTTCTGAACTACCGATCCCAGAATTGAAAGGAGCATGAGTGTAAACATATCTGCATCGGCAAAGGTTTGTATGCCCCCATCTCTAGGTCACACTTTTTCACTGTACGCTTGGCATTTAGAATATCAATGGATACGGGTATTTTCAAGAATGTAATGTGTCAGTTCCTACCTCCACATAGTCCTTGGCATGGCCCCAATCTCGTTTGGCATCCAGATTTCCCAAACTGAAACATTCCAGTTGTCCAAGGTAAATCTTAGCTACTGACCGGCTAATTTTTCGAGTAACGAAATTAGCTCCTAAAAAGAGGCAAAAGATGTATTATCAGTCAAGTGCATTTGACACATTTAACAGTTTGGTGAACCAAACCCAATTTCGGCCTCTGGGCATTTCTTTCATTCTGCACTCCCAGCCACCCTGTTAAAATAATAAAAGAAAACAAAAAGAAAAAAGATCATTAACTGTCATTTAGACAAGTTAAGAAGCCCTAATTCTATGTGTCACATCAGCTCTACTTTCATAACAAATGTTTTTCTTTCGGGGACATCTTAACATTCCTAATTTGCTGCTTCAATATGCAGCCCAGGCATTAGGCCAAAGAAAAGCTGTTGGAATGCCAGTTTTTTTAACAGAAAATTCAAAAGGGTTGTATAAAGGGAAATGCCAGAATGGACGACAGACATCTAAGACCACCCTGATTTTTTTTAAGAACACAAACATCATATATTCTTATTAATAAAGCTACTTTGGGACTCATGGGGAGAGAAAGAAACATAGCTTAGTTCACAGGGTAACTAGTTAAAGGAAACAAGAAAGGAATTTATTTGGGCTGCCTTTCTCTTAACAAAATAAGTGGTGATGGCTCTTACTCAGAAACCTGCACAGCCATCCAAATGATATGATATGGCCCCCGGGCAAAAGTTTCTCTGTACTATACTTAAGGCAATGCCACTTTCCAACTTCATTTCAGTGTTATCTACAGAAAGGGCTCCTACATTTTGTGTAATATTTTGAAATGACTGGATGAAAGGGACCATATATTGATGAAAGTACTGAAATTGTTTTAATGTTCTCTGGTCTTTAATGAAAACTCTACCTGCTTTTAAAAGATCACAAAGTTAAAAGGCACTTCTGAGACAGTTTTACCTTGTATCAAGGTAAGGTTATGAGAAAACACCATTTAATACCAAATTCTCAAGGTAATAATACACATATTAGCAGTTAATAATGGATTCATACAGTTTAGATACATGAATATCATAATTTATCACATACCAATGACTTTATGTTCTTTTGCAGATGAAGCAGGGAGGCAAATATTATGATCAAAGTGTATGGCTTCTGGAGAACAGGCACACGGATAAGGGCAATATTTCTAAATAGGTTTTCCAAATTTTGGCAAGAATATGGCTTAGCGCAAGTTCAAACATACACCAGATTCACTTACTCCACAAACTTGATACGTACATTTACAGCAACATTATTATCCTTAAGAAATACAATGGGACTACCGTGGAAATCCAAATTTTCAATTTCCCTTGTCAATTCAGATGGTACGTTAAAAAATACAAAGTTTCAACTTTCCACAGAGGTTTATATAGCACAAAGAGGTCCTTCAAAAAAAGTGCCTTTTGAAATGAAAACCTACTTATTAGCCAGTAAGTAATTAGTGGCTAATTATTAATTTAAAAAATTTTTCTATTGACTTGTAACAGTTAAATTTAAATGTAAATTTATAATTAAATTTAGGTTTTTTGATGTTTATCGTTATTTCAATGTCAGGACTATACTATTTTCTCAAAGTATACTAAGAAACCAATGATGTCAAATCATTAAATAAATTTTTCAACATAAAACATTTCAGATTAACCTATTTACCAGTAAACTAATGTTTGGGAGTCCAGTGGAAGCATTTGACCCTATTCATACAATTTATTGATTCTCTCAGCCATTGTTCACTACGCACCCACCAATCACTGAGCACTGAGCTAAGCACTGGGGATCTGGGAGTGAAGCCGCAGCTCCTGCTCTCAGGTATCACAGAGAGCGTCAGATGGGCCAACAAACCAGTGCTGAACCTAGTAAAATGACAGGTCTGCAAGGGGAGAAAGGCTTTGGGGTTGTAGCATGGCTGCCAGGCGCAGCATGTGAGAAATGCCCCCCAGAAATGGAGCTTGAATGGAGTCTACCAAGGAGGTCATAAAGGGATTAATCAAGCCGTGAGACAGGGTGGTACTCCAGGCAGGAGGAACAGCACTCGCAAAGATGAGGAAGGGTCTTTCTCCTCCAACTCTTACCACAACCTTATGATGGTTATGGCCCCTCCTGAGGGCTATCACTGAGAGCACTGTGCTAAGCTCTTTAGATGGAGTCACTCATTTAATTTTCCAAGCAACCCACGGGCTAAGAACTATTAGTACCCACATGAAGCTGAGATTCAGGGAAGCTATATAAATCAACTATTCTAAAACAGGATTCAAATCAAGAGCTATGTGACTACAAAGTTCTTATATTACCAGAACTTTAATGTCATGCTAGAAAGGTGGATCTTTTCTTATCTGGTTCCTAAAGTTATCTTGGATAACCAGTCAAAATTAACTATAATTTCTAGTTCTTAAAATGTAATTTTTGGTTTTGTTTTTTTGAGACAGAGACTCGCTCTGTCGCCCAGGCTGGAGTGCAGTAGCGCGATCTTGGCTCACTGCACCCTCCGCCTCCCAGGTTCAAGCAATTCTCTGTCTCAGCCTCCCGAATAGATGGGATTACAGGCACCTGCCACTACACCTAGCTACTTTTGTGTTTTCTTTTTCAGTAGACGTGGGGCTTCACCATCTTGGCCAGGCTGGTCTTGAACTCCTGACCTTGTGATCTCCCTGTCTCAACCTCCCAAAGTGCTGGGATTACAGGCATGAGTCACCACACCTGGTCAAAATGTAATTTTAACGATTATTTAGAACAGCTATTTTGAGATACAATTCACATAGCATACAACTCATTCATTTAAAGCATATGCTTCAATGGCTTTTGTTATATTCATAGAAATGTACAACCATCACCACAATCAATTTTAGAACACTTTCATCATCCCAGAAAGAAACCCTGTATCATTTAGCAGTTTTCTCCTAGTACCCTAGCCCTGGCAAACAGATAATCTACCTTGTATCTCCAGATTTGCCTATTCTGGGCACTTCGCATAAATGGAATTATATTAATGTCTGGTCTTTGTGCCTGGTTTCTTTTACTTAGCATAATATTTTCAAAGTTCATCCATATTGTGGTTTGAATCAGTACATTGTTCATTTTTTATGGCCAAATTAATATTCTATTATATAAGTATACCAAATTTTATTTAACCGTCCATGAGATGAATATCTGTGGTGCCTCCATCCTTTGCCTTTTGTGAATAATGCTACCATGAACGTTCATGTCTTTTCACAAACATATGTTTTAATTTCTTTTTTTTTTTTTTTTGAGACGGAGTCTTGCTCTGCCACCCAGGCTGGAGTGCAGTGGCCGGATCTCAGCTCACTGCAAGCTCCGCCTCCCGGGTTCCCGCCATTCTCCTGCCTCAGCCTCCGGAGTAGCTGGGACTACAGGCGCCCGCCACCTCGCCCGGCTAGTTTTTTGTATTTTTTAGTAGAGACGGGGTTTCACCGTGTCAGCCAGGATGGTCTCGATCTCCTGACCTCGTGATCCGCCCGTAGAATTGCTGGGTCAGATGAGAACTGTTTTACCAACTGAGGAAATGCAGACTTTTCCAATGTGGCTGCACCACTTTACATTCCCACCAGCAGGGAAACAGGGCTCTGATTTCTTCCCATTCTCCCCAGTACTTGTTATGGTCTGCTAGACTGTGGTCATTCTAGTGGGCACTGAGTGGTACCTTACTGTGGTTTCGATGTGTACTTCTCTGATAACTAATGATATGAAGCAATTACCTTTTCATGTGCCTACTGGCCACTTGTATATCTTTTTTGGAGACATGTCTATTCAAATCCTTTGCCCATTTTCAAATCGGATTACTTATCTTTTTATTATAGAGTTGTAAGAATTCTTTATACATTCTGGATCCAAGTCCCTTATCAGATATATAATTTGTAAATATTTTCTCTCATTCTGTAGGCTGACTTTTCACTTTCTTGACTGTGCTCTCTGAAGCACAAAAGCTTTTTTATCTTTTAATTTTGATGAAGTCCAATTTGTCTATATTCGCTTGTGTAGCAGGTGCTTGTGGTGTCATATTCGAGAAGGCTTCATTAATCTAAGGTTATGGAGATTTATTCCTATACATTTTTATGAGTTTTATAGTTTTTCTTCTTATATTTGAATTTTTGATCAATTTTTAGTAAATTTTTATATTTGGTGTGATGAAAGGGTCTAACTTCATTCATTTGCATGTTGACATCCAGCTGTCTCAGTATTATTTGTTGGAAAGGTTATTTTTCTCATTCAATTGTCTTAGCACTTTCCTCAAAAATCAATTAATCAAAAATGTGGGAGATAATTTCTGACTTTCAATTCGATTTCATTGCTGTACTCTATGTCTGTCCTTATGCCAGTACCACACAGTCCTGGTTACTGTAGCTCTGTGGCAAGTTTAAAAATTAGGAAGTATGAGTTCTCCAACTTTGTTCTTTTTTAAGGTTATTTTAGCTACTCTCTGTCCCTTGAATTTCCATATGAATTTTAGGATCAGCCTGTTGATTTTTGCAAAAACACCAACAGGGAATCTGAAAGGGATCATGTTGAATCTGTAGATCAAAATGGGGACTATTCCCAGGCTAACATTATTGTGCCTTCCAATCCACGACTATAGGATGTTGTTCCCCTTTATTTTGGTCTTTAATATTTCTTTCAACAATGTGTAATAGTTTTCAGGGAATAATGTTTACACTTTGGCTAAATTCGTTCCTAAACACTTTATTCTTTTTTATTATAAATAGAATTGTTTTCTTGATTCCAAGAAAAAGTTTTTGATTAATTTTAAACATTTTTGTAACCATATGTTTCGCTACTTAATTCTCAAGAAAGGCTTAAAATGATTTTTTTTTTTTAAATTTGCTCTCCTCATTTTTAGTCCATGTTACGGAAGACTGCTCTTTTAAGGAAAAAACTATATAAAAGCATAGAACATGAGGGCTGAGACTATCCCAAGTGACAGGTGAAGAAAAAGAAGTGCACAGAGACTGCACACCTTTCCTGAGTCCGCACAAGTAGTCGAGCCTGACCCAGGCCTGTCTCACTGGCTTTCTAGCCTTGTGCTGTTTCGCTAAGCCACAGTGCAATGCAGGAGGAATCC